TAGACCAATTCAATTTTCATACACTCGAACCTAATGAACAGGAATGTCTATTACCAACAACAATTTTGACAGGTTTTTCCTACTTGACGTACAAATCAACTGAATCTCAAGAACAGACCAACTACGTTTACATAAACCAAAACCTAAGGAACATTAATGTGTATTACAATGAAAACATTCGACAGGCTTTGTTTACTTGACGTACACATCAACTGTACCTCAAGTACAGACAGATTGTATCTTCCTATGACCAAACCTTGATGAATACTAGTGTGTGTTACCATTAAAACTTTCGAAAGGCTTTGTCTACTGGAGATACACATCAACTACCCCTCAAGTACAGACCAATTCAATCTGCATACACCCAACTCTGATGAATATTGATGTGTATTACCATCAAAAGTTTCTACAGGCATTATCTTCTCAACGTACACATCAACTGTACCTTAAGTCACCTTGCAATGATAATCTGGTTGTTTTTAGGCAGATATGACTGTGGTAATCTCTGGTCACCTTACTTACACAAATGTTAACTTTAGTTACACAATATCACCTATCACAGATATCGATTTCTTTACCTCTAATCACAATACACAAATTTTGACTTTGGTTATCTCTGGTACCCTTGAAAGGATATTGACACTATGTTTACCTCTGTTCACCTCACAATTATATTCCGGTCAGATTACACAATTACTCAATTTGGTTACCTCTGGTCACCTAACACATATATTGACATCGGTTACCTCTAGTCATATTGACTTTGGTTACCTCTGGTCACCTTGCACAGATATTTACTATGGTATCTTGTGGTTACCTTACAATGATGTTCTTGTCACATTACACATATATTTGATTTGGTTACTTCTGGACACCTTACACATATATTGACTTTAGGTACCTCTGATTACCTTTCACAGAGATTGAATAGGCTTCACCCTGGTCATCTTACAATGATATTCTTGTTCTTTCTGCTCGACGTACACATCAACTGTACCTCAAGTACAGACCAATTCAATCTACATACACCCAAATATAATAAATATTAATGTATATTACAATCAAAACTTTGGACAGGCTTTGTCTACATGCAGTACACATCATTTGTACCTCAAGTACAGACCAATTCAATTTTCATACACTCGAACCTAATGAACAGGAATATCTATTACTAACAACAATTTTGACAGGTTTTTTCTACTTGACGTACAAATCAACTGAATCTCAAGAACAGACCAACTACGTTTACATAAACCAAAACCTAAGGAACATTAATGTGTATTACAATGAAAACATTCGACAGGCTTTGTTTACTTGACGTACACATCAACTGTACCTCAAGTACAGACAGATTGTATCTTCGTACAACCAAACCTTGATGAATACTAATGTGTGTTACCATTAAAACTTTCGAAAGGCTTTGTCTACTGGAGATACACATCAACTGACCCTCAAGTACAGACCAATTCAATCTGCATACACCCAACTCTGATGAATATTGATGTGTATAACCAACAAAAGTTTCTACAGGCATTGTCTACTCGACGTACACATCAACTGTACCTCAAGTAACCTTGCACAGATATTGGCTATGTTTCCCCCTGGTCATCTTACAATGATAATCTGGTTCTTTTTAGACAGATATGACTGTGGTAATCTCTGGTCACCTTACTTACACAGATGTTAACTTTAATTACACAATATCACCTATCACAGATATCGATTTCTTTACCTTTGATCACAATACACAAATTTTTACTTTGGTTATCTCTGGTCACCGTATCCTATTGTTCTGTTCACATTACACAAATATTTAATTTGGTTACCTCTGGTCACCTTGAAAGGATATTGACTCTGTTTACGTCTGGTCACCTTACAATTATACTCTAGTCAGATTACACAAGTATTCAATTTGGTTACCTAATCACAGATATCGATTTCTTTACCTCTGATCACAATACACAAATTTTGACTTTGGTTATCTCTGATCACCGCATCCTGATGTTCTGTTCACATTACACAAATATTAAATCTGATTACCTCTTGTCACCCTACACAGAAATTCACTTTGGATAACTCTGGTCACCTTACACATATATTGACTTTGGTTACCTTTGGTTACCTAACACTGGTGTTCTTGTCACCTTACTCATATTATTAATTTGGTAAACTCCGGTAACCTTGAAAGGATATTGACTATGTGTACCTCTCGTCACCTTACAATAATACTCTGGTCACATTACACAATTATTCAATTTGGTTACCTCTGGTCACCTTACACATATATTGACGTTGGTTACCTCTAGCCATATTGAATTTGGTAAACTTTGGTAAACTTGCACACATGTTGACTATGGTACCTTGTGGTTACCTCACAATGATGTTCTTGTCAAATTATACATATATTTGATTTGTTTACTTCTGGTCACCTAACACATATTTTGACGTTGGTTACCTCTGGTCACCTAACACATATATCGACTTTGGTTACCTCTGATTACCTTTCACATATATTGATTAGGCTCCCCCCTGGTCATCTTACAATAATATTCTTGTTCTTTCTGCTCGACGTACACATCAACTGTACCTCAAGTACAGACCGATTGTATCTACGTAAATATACAACCAACCTTGTTGAATACTAATGTGTGTTTCCATTAAAACTTTCGAAAGGCTTTGTCTTCTTGAGGTACACATCAACTGAACCTCAAGTACAGACCAACTACGTTTACATAAACCAAGACCTAATGATCAATAATGTGTATTACAATCAAAACATTCGACAGGCTTTTCTACTCGACGTACACATCAACTGTACCTCAAGTCACCTTGCGCAGATATCGACTATGCCTCTCCCTGATCATCTTACAATGATAATCTGGTTGTTTTTAGACAGATATGAATGTGGTTATCTCAAATCACCTTACACAGATTGTAACTTTTGTTACACAATATATCCTATCACAGATATCGATTTATTTACCTCTGATCACAATACACAGATATTGACTATAGTTATCTCTGGTCACCGTATCCTTATGTTATGTTAACTTTACACATATAACTAACGTGGTTACCTCTGGTCACCTAACACTCATAATGCCTTTGATTACATCTACTCAATTGACGCAGATATTGACTTTGATAACCTCTGGTCACGGAACACAGATTTGGTTCCCTTTATTCTCTTTAGGCAAATATTGACATTGGTTCTAGTGTTCTCTTTAGACAGATATTGACTTTAGATACCTCTGTTCACCATAATTACACATATGTTGACTTTGTGTACCAATGCTAGCCCACCAGAGATAGCGTTTTTGTTACTTCTGCTCACCTTACACAGATATTGACTATTGTTACCTCTGGTTACCTTACACTGCTGTTCTGGTCACCTTACACAAATGTTTAATATGGTAACTTCTGATCACCTTGTAGATATAATGACTTTGGTTACATCTACTCAATTGACACAGATATTGACTTTTGTTACCTCTGGTTACCTTATACTGCTGTTCTGGTCACCTTACACAAATGTTTAATATGGTAACTTCTGGTCACCTTGTAGATATAATGACTTTGGTTACATCTACTCAATTGACACAGATATTGACTTTGGTTACCTCTCTTCACCATAATTTGACATATGTTGACTTTGGTTACCCATGCTCGCCTAACAGAGATTATGTTTAATTACCTCTACTCACCTTACACAGATATTGACTATTGTTACCTCTGGTTACCTTACACTAATGCTCTGGTCACCTTACATATATGCTTAATTTGGTCATATTACACTGATATTCACTTTGGTTACCTCTGGTCACCTTACACATATATTGAACTTTGTTACCTCTAGTCACCTTGTTAAGATACTAACTATGGTTACCTCTGGTATCCTTACAATGATGTTCTTGTCACATTACACAAATATTTTATTTTTTACCTCTGGTCACCTAACACATATCTTCACTTTTGTCATCTGATCACCTTACACAGAAATTTACTTTGTATAACTCTGGTCACCTTACACATATCTTGACTTTTGTTACCTCTGGAAATCTTACACTGATGTTCTGGTCACCTTACACAAATGATTAATTTGGTTACTTCTGGTAACCTTGAAAGGATATTGACTATTTTTACCTCTCGTCACCTTTCAATTATACTCTGGTCACATTACACAATTGTTCAATTTGGTTACCTCACCTAACACATATATTGACGTTGGTTACCTCTAGTTATATTGACTTTGGTTACCTCTGGTCACCTTGCACAGATATTGACTATGGTACCTTGTGGTAAACTTACAATGATGTTTTTTTTTTCATTACACATATTTTGACGTTGGTTACCTCTGGTCATCTTACACATCCATTGACTTCGGTTACCTCTGATTACCTTTCACAGATATTGACTATGCTTCCCCCTGGTCATCTTACAATGATATTCTTGTTCTTTCTGCTCGACGTACACATCAACTCTACCTCAAGTACAGACCGATTGTATCTACGAATACATACAACCCACCCTGATGAATACTTATGTGTGTTACCATTTAAACTTTCTATAGGCTTTATATAGATATAAGAAGATGTGGTATGAGCGTCAATGAGACAACTCTCCATCCAAGTCAAAATTTATAAAAGTAAACCATTATAAGTCAAAGTACGGTCTTCAACACGGAGCCTTGGCTCACACCGAACAGTAAGCTATAAAGGGCCCCACAAATTACTAGTGTAAAACCATTCAAACGTGAAAACCAATGGTCTTATCTATATAAAAAACGAGAAACGAGAAACACTTATGAACCACATCAACAAACGACAACTACTGAACATCAGATTCCTGACTTAGGACAGGTGCAAACAAATGCAGCGGGTTTAAACGTTTTAATTGTACCAAACCTTCACCCTTTTTCTGAAACAATAGTGTAACATCACAACATAGAAAGACACACTATAGAATAACAACTGAAATAGCTTAAAGGAGACGTGACACAATTTTTTTTTTTTTTTTTTTTTTAATTAATTAATTACTATTGGTCAAAAAACATATTTTAATAAATTTTTCTTGTCAAAACCTCATGAAACGGCCTTTTTATGGTCAAATAATCCAGCGCTTGTCGTAATCTTTGATTTTTAATTAGATACCGGTCACGTGATCGTGATGACGTCAGTGGATACAAGCTGAGAAAATGTCTCAATATGGACGAAGTCGATCACATTTCTGCATAATTAAACAATGGACGGTGTTGACAGCAGTTTTCAAGACAACTCTCAAACTTTAGATATTCGACCGTATCAGTTTGAGCCGTTACTTGTTGAAAATAATCAAGTAGAAGATATAAATGTGTCATCCGAAGAGTCCGACATTGACGATCTTTCAAGCAATATGCAAGCTGTAGGATCTGCAAAGAATAAATGTTTGTTGTTAATTTAGTTTTACAGAACTTTAATTACTGTGATAATTATTTAAGACATATAAATACAAGTGAACGTCTTGGGTCACACAATGGTCAATTGCATTTCTGAATAATTATGTGGTTTTAAATTACAATTATAATGAAATCAAAAATATAGAGAAATATACCTAACTTCTTAACTCCATTTTATTTGAGCTTTCATGGATAGTTGTCTGATTAGCAATCAATTTACCACTAATAAATTGGTTCTTAGATATTAATTTAATAATTTAAATTAGTTAGTTTGCTAAATGTAGCGTTCAAGTTCAAAAGTTTATTATAGTTTATTATAGTCGCACCACATACATACACGTATAAACACAATATGAAATATAATGCACATTTTAAAATTTAGAATGCATATATAGAGATCTGTGTAGAAATATATCGGTACTATAACAATTATTTCACTATAAATCAAGATATATTTCTTAAAAATGTTTGAATTTAACAGGTAATTGAATTACATTAAATAAGACAATTACCAAGTATGTTGGGTGTGAAATTTGAATTACTGAAGCAGCCCCCAATACATGTGTAATAAGTGTGACATAACAGGGGAAGTATTAAAAGTAATATTTAAAGAAGTTTTGAAACAGTAAAATATATTCATGTATTTGTCTCCTCCATAATCATCCCATTGAAAATGTTCTAGGAGTACTGATTTTTTGTTGTTGTGATATTTGTTATAATGTGTATATCTTCAGTCTATACTTATACATGATCTACTACTCCCAGGTCTGTATCAATTGGATTTATTTCCATTATTTAAGTTAAAACTATATTATTCAGCTTCATGTCTTATGCGATATAAAGACTTGCATACATACACTAGCCAAAATATTTGTTTTTCATTCAAGTCACCTTTTTGCATATTTCACCTCAATAACCTTGCATCAATGGTCTATCATTTTGATAGTATGACTTGGCATCTCTTCACAATTTTTTTTATAAAGAAATAAAAAGATTTTCCATAAATAAATGAAATAATAAGGGTAAATAATAAAAACTTAATTGCAATACACCTTTTATACATGCCTAATTTTTATTAGAATCTATGTACCTACTGCAGGTTATGTTTTAGTTATGGAGACTGACAGGCATTTAAATTTTTAATTTTCCAGGTTTTTTTTTAATTCTTTTCTTACTTTAAAAACATTTCTTTTTTATTGTCTATTCATTTTGCTTATTATACTCCATTCTTTACAAAGTAAATTCAGCAACCCATTATTTCCTATCCCCCCCTTTTTAAGCTGCACTGTCAGTCCTTTTTTCTCTATTCTGTAAAACCCCATAACGGACAGTCGGGTATTGTTTATTCCAACAGGTAAAACAGATATGCATTACGTAACTTATGTCTGTAACATTTGCTCTAGTCTATTTTCCAACCTCACCTGTGCACCCAGCAGGTGATCATGGATGTATACAGATTCGACGCATATTACGCAGTATTGCATATTACCTATGTCTTATCTATCATCACCTGGCGGCATGACACCTGTAGCTTTCAACTTCAAAAGGTAACCCAGCATTGCGGATAAAGTGTGCCGCATACCTGTAACTTCTGATCGATGTTTATGGATGTATGTCCAATTTCAGTGTACACACCTGCACACGTGAACAGGTAGTGAGGTACACTAAGGAGGTACACGATACCAAATTTTAAACACTGAGATATATTGGGCTGTACACAAATATGACGAAACTATAAAAAAATAATATTATTAAAAGGGGACGCAAAAAAATATTTGCGAAGATAAAAAAAAAATATTTACGTCAGCCTTTCTCCGCTTTTCATAAGCTCCCCGCTTAGGTATAAGTGGCCTTGGCTCAGCTGTTGTTGGTTGTGTCAATGGAATGTCAGGTACCGCATTTGGACGGAGTTTTGACTTCATGGTAGGACAGCCCTCGAGATTCTTCATAACTTCTGGGTCACGATCGTAACATGCATTTGTAAAGTGGGCGGAACAAAGTCTATGACCAGTGCTTGGTAGGAAGTCCCATCTCTTACAATAGTGTGTCCACGCCTTCCTGGTTTGCGGGTTACTCGGAAAACGGAAAAAAACTAATTAAATTGTCCTTCTTATGCCTATTGTTGCATCCACTGGCAGCACACAGAACCATTTTTAATCACTGTCATGGGTTTTGTTGGAAGATATTCGAAAATGAAATGAGCTAATTATGCCTATACACCCGTCAGTCAAATATGATTGATGAAACCACTGACGTCACAGCCTCGTTCTGAGTGACTTCCGGGATTGAAATATGCATAATTAGTATGTCGACAGATCGATACATTTAAATTCATATTTTATCCATTTAAACGATAATTATATTGCTTTCGATGTTTTTTGGGGGGTAATTATGTATAAATAAATATTTATTTCAAAAAAAAAAAACAAACAAAAAAATCATGTCACATCTCCTTTAACTCAATCAAAGGACATATTAACACCAGTGAACATACACTGAACAAATAAATTTGACCTATGATACAATGTAAATACAAACTAAATAAACTAAGGGAAGAATAATAAAAGTAACATGTTATATCGGTATGAAATGTTAAACAATTTAAGAAAAACAATATGCTCGAACACAAATATGTCTACTTGAGGTACACATCAACAATTACTGCACCTCAAGTACAGACCAATTCAATCTATATACACCCAAATATAATGAATATAAATGTATTACAATCAAGAATTTGGACAGGCTTTGTCTACTTGATGTACAAATCAACTGCACTTCAAGTAAAGATCGATGGAATCTACATACACCCTATAATCAACTGAATCTCAAGTATAGATCAACTACACTTACATAAACCAAAACCTAAGGAACATTAATGTGTATCACAATCGAAACATTCGACAGGCTTTGTCTACTCGACATACACAAGTACAGACTGATTGAATCTACATACAACCAACTCTGATGAATACGAATGTGTGTTACCATTAAAACTTTCAAAAGGCTTTGTCTACTTGAAATACACATAAGATCATCAACTATACCTAGAGTACAGACCAATTCAATATAAATACACTCAATTCGGATGAAAATATTACCATCAAAACTTTCGACAGGCTTTGTTTACTTGCGGTACACATCAACTGAACCTCAAGTAAAGACCAATTCAATCTACATACACACAAGTATAATGAATATTAATGTATTACCATCAAAACTTTGGACACGCTTTGTCTACATGAAGTACACATCATTTGTACCTCAAGTACAGACAAATTCAATCTTTATACAGTAGAACCTAATGAACAGGAATGTCTATTACCAACAACAATTTTGACAGGCTTTTCTACTTCACGTACATCGTTTCTTTATAAAGTATGAAATTATAGCGGTTCTCTAGATATAGAGCGGACACAATTTGTTACGGACGGACGGACGGACAGACGGCAGATGGACAGACTGATCACTTTAGGGCGACCCGCCACTAGGCGTGGCCCTAATAAAAAGATATGTAGAATATACACCGATGCGATAGAAACCAACAACAAAATAACTGTTAACACAGAGATATGTCTCGCCTACTTGTTACCTTGACAATGCAAATGTTGAAATTAAAATAGCAATGTAAGTTATGCAAATATTCAAAGTCAATGAACCATGACTGAAGTTACAGGGCTAAACAATCTCCATGGAAATGGGATGTGCCAATGCAATACAACTGCATACCAAATACCACTAAAACCTCATAAGTCGTTCCTTTTAAACAAACCTAAACACAAACATTAACTTGCAAACTATGTACAAGTTTGAGAATCAATGAATCATAATGAGGGTGTGGGGTTATATAATCTCCATGGAAATGAAACTTGCAAATGCCAAAACATGTGCATACCAAATATCATTGACTTAACATAAGTGGTTCATCTTAAACTAACCTATTCACAAACTAATACATGTAAACTAACCAAAAGTTTCAAAGTCAATAGACCGTGACTGAGGGGGCAGGCCCAAATAATCTCCATGGAAATGAGATATGCCTATGCTTATACAACTGCATACCAAATATCATTGACCTACCACTAGTGGTTCCCCATAAACTGACCTAATCACAAACTAATACATCACAAAAAAACCAACTTTAAACTGAAGAATCTAATTTTGCAATGTTTTTCTATGATAGCTTATATGAACCTGGGAGATCATCATGACCTATATTTTCTTCACTGTGAGCCTGTGCGAAGTTTTAAAGTTAATAAAAAGATGAAAACTAAATAATTGATGATTTATTGAATTGTTGTTTGCATCCCCCCCCCCCCCCCCCCCCCCCCCCAAAAAAAAAATTTTGGTAGTGCAATTGTAAATTTGAGATTTTTGTAGATTACTAAAAGAAATCAACACATCATAGACTTCAAAATCCTCTATTCAGTTTATATTCATGCTATTTGTCCTTTGCTGCTACAAATGATTTCCGCTTCTTGTCAACACCAAGTTCTTGGCTCAACAATTTTATTTTTTATGAAGTGCTCTTCCTTTTTGGTGAACTTCCGAGAGATGACCTATCTAAAGATGCTAATAAACTCGACCTGTCAGAAGAAATCAAAGCTCAAAACTAATATTTACCATTTCTGGTGTATCCTTGCTATAACCTGATCGACGATCACTGATCAAAAGGGAAAAATCTCAGAATATAAAAGAAACCTGGGGCTTCATACTTATTTTCGTTGTTTGCTAATTGCATCTATATATTTCTTGATCTTTGATAAAATTGAGAATGGAAATGGGGAATGTGTCAAAGAGACAACAACCCGACCAAGGAGTAGAAAACAGCCCAAGGCCACCAAAGGGTCTTCAACACAGCGAAAAAATCCCGCATCCTGGAGGCGGGCTTCAGCTTGCCCCTTAGGTATCAATATACAGTTAGGAAAAAAAATTTAAATTTAACCTCATAAATTTTACCATCCCCTTTTCCTTGCTTTGTTACAAATTAAGCTTACTGTTTGTGTCATATATGTGCATATGTATATAATCAGTATCTTCCATAGATTTGATATCAAGGAGTTAAAAATGTTAAATATAACTTCTTTTTTGATGTATCCATGGCAACAATCTGCATTTATAAAATTTGCAATAAAATATTGCAAAAAGGGGATAAAGATGTCACATATTTGACCAAAAACTTGGCAAAAATTAGAATTTCATTCCCTTGGAGTGATACCTTTTCTGAAACTGTTTAAATATATCTATCAAGGGATCCAATAAAAATCATATGTCGTTCGTTTCATTTTTTTGTAAAATTGCGTATAAAAGTTCGGTTGAAAAAATAGTGTTTGTAAACATTACAATAATTTCTGGACCTTTGGTTATTCTAGCTATGAAAATATGTACAGTCTATCAGAAAATAGCCCATAAAACATGTAGACAATAATCTTGATGTTCTTATATATAAACCCACTTTGAATGCTAAATTAGTCATAAGCTGTCTAAACATGAATTTTATTGTACAATAACTTTCATATTTGAAAAATCCACAGGGGCCAAAATGCGAAACCACACTCCTAACTGTGTATTTTTACCTTAACACTTTAATAGTAATTATTTTTTTTCAAATTCTCCATTTTCAGTAATTTTCTGTGAACATTCTGTTAGCTAATACGAGTAAAATGGCCTTTTATTTTTGAAAATTGGTTGAGTAATAAATATTTATTTGGTTAGAAGTTTACACTGAAAAGCGACAAAAACTGATTTAAAGAAAAGTGCCAAGTAAAAGTGTAAAATCTCATTTCTACTTCAATTTCTGGTTAAATTTTAAAAACTATACATTGTACCTCTTGTTTCTGTTTTTTAATGTTGAAATCTTAATAAGGTATCTGAAGATGCAATATTGTACAAAATTTAGCAATTTGAGGCATAAAAATGTTATTTTTTATGTGTATTGCATACAAAGCCTTGATTAAGAAACTAGGTAACAGGGAATCAATTTCTAACATGTCTAACAACGGAAAGAACTATACATTTAATTTATGCCAAAATGTAACATGAAACTTGAATAAAAATAACTGTTTGATATATTCACAAGAAAAAATACAAAGCTTTCAATACTTGGGCTTCTACATAGAGTAAAATTCTTTAGTAGCAAAGCTTAAGCCTATAGAGTATAAATATAAGCTTTAAATTGTATGTCTGACAAGAAAAGAAAAGTTCATTGATATCTTTAAAAATTTTCAATAAAATGCTCCACGGGCGCAGCTTGAAACGACTGCAGGGGTCGAACTTGAACAGTTGGGGCAATTATAGGCACTACATTCAAGCTTGATACAGCTCTGAATTTGAATTGTGTTTAAATATTTGACACAGCATCACTACAAAAGTCAAAAAGTCTGAAAAGACCAGTTTTTGTCTGAATTTGCATGAATTTTTACTCGACATTCTTAATTTGTCTGAATAATTTTTAAAAATTCTTGACATAGTATGAATTTGTCTAATAAGGTTCTTGATTTTTCTTGACAAGTGTCTTGACAGTATGAACATTGTATTAAAATTTCTCGACACTTCCTGTATCATCTGATAAGAGTCTGGATTAGTCTCGACCAATTCTTGACTGTCTTAAATTTGTCTCGATCTGTCTTGACATATTCTTGACATTCTTAATAATGTCTGAATATGTCTCGACATATTCTTGACATTCTAAATAATGTCTGAATATGTCTCGACACATTCTTGACAGTCTTAAATATGTCTTGACACTATCTCAACAGTATAAATTTCGCCTGAAATGTGAACAGACTTATTCTGCACTGTTTATGACATTCTATTGCTGTTATATACTCCTTTTTATTATGGCTAAACTAAACTTTGAAGAATCAAGGATTAATTTGGTATAGTAAGATACCCTTTTGGTGCAACTAAGTTGGAAGACCC